ACGGAGTTTCGCTGTTGTTGCCCAGACTGGAGTGCAGTGGCACGATCTCGGCTCACCGCAACCTCCGCCTCCTGGGTTCAGGCAATTCTCCTGCCTCAGCTTCCTGAGTAGCTGGGACTACAGGCGCGCACCATCATGCCCAGCTAATTTTTGTATTTTTAGTAGAGACGAGGTTTCACCTTGTTGACTAGGATGGTCTCGATCTCTTGACCTCGTGATCCACCCGCCTCGGCCTCCCAAAGTGCTAGGATTATAGGCGTGAGCCACCACGCCCGGCCAGAATGTACTACTTTTTAATTTTTTTGTGACAGGGTCTTAATCTGTTGCCCAGGCTTGAGTGCAGTGAAATGATTGTGGCTCACTCACGGGTTAAAGACCTTTGGGCTCACTTGCAAATATCAGGAATCCTCAATATTGGACAGGCTTGACTTCCCCGGCTCAAGCCATCCTCCCACCTCAGCCTCCTGAGTAGCTGGGACTACAGGTACGCACCACCATGCCTGACTAATTTTTATATTTTTTGTAGAGACAGGGTTTCACCATGGTTCCCAGGCTGGTCTCAAACTCCTGGGCTCAAGCAATCTGCGTTCCTTGGCCTCCCAAAGTGCTGGGATTACAAGAGTGAGCCAGGTGAGCCACTGCACCTCCTACTTAAAAAAAGAAAAAAAGGTTGTGTAACACAGCCTCAGGCAGGTCCTTCAGTAGGTGTTGCTGATTGTTACTGCAGGGGATGACAGCTCCATTGCATGTTATTGCCCTGAAGACCTACCAGTGGAACAAGATGTGGAGGTGGAAGGCAGTGATAGGCCTAGGCTCATGTATGTGCTTGTGTCTTAGTTTTTTTTTCTTTTTTTTGAGACGGAGTTTAGCTCTTGTTACCCAGGCTGGAGTGCAATGGCTCAAACTCTGCTCACCGCAACCTCCGCGTCCTAGGTTCAGGCAATTCTCCTGCCTCAGCCTCCTGAGTAGCTGGGATTACAGGCACGTGCCACCAGGCCCAGCTGATTTTTTTTTGTATTTTTAGTAGAGACGGGGTTTCACCATGTTGACCAGGATGGTCTCGATCTCTTGACCTCGTGATCCACCCGCCTTGGCCTCCCAAAGTACTGGGATTACAGGCGTGAGCCACCGCGCCCGTCCCGTGTCTTAGTTTTTAACAAAGAAAGTTTAAGAATTAAAATTTTAAAAAGCTTATAAAATAAGGATCTAAAGAAAGAAAATATTTTTTGTACAGCTGTACAATGTGTTTGTGTTTTAAGCTAAGTGGGTTAATACAAAAGAGTCAAAATGTTGAAAAAATTAAAAAGTTTATAAAGTAAAAACAGTAAGCCAAGATTAATTTATTATTGAAGAAAGAAACACTTTTAAAGCTAATTTAGTGTAGCCTAGGTGTACAGTGTTATAAAGTCTACAGTAGTGTACAGTAATGTCCACAAACCCCTAGGTTGTGGACCCATCCTAGTCTGTGGCCTGCTAGGAACTGGGCCACACAACAGGAGGTGAGCAGCTTCATCTGTATTGACAGCAGCTCCCTATGGCTTGAATTGCTGCCTGAGTTCCACCTGCTATCAGATCAGTGGTGGCATTAGAGTCTCTTAGGAGTGCGAACGCTATTGTGAACTGTGCATGTGAGGGATCTAGGTTGCTACAAGCTCCTTATGAGAATATAATGCCTGATGATCTGAGGTGAAACAGTTTCATCCCCAAAGCATCTGGCCCCCTACCACCCCCGCAAGTCCATGGAAAAGCTGTCTTCCATGAAACCACTTCCCGGTGCCAAACCAGTACTGCTGTCCTAGGGCTTCCGCAAGCTTCATTTATGGTAACTGCCCAATACAGGTACGTATACTGCTTAAAAAATCTTTTAGGCCGTATTTTTACTGTGCTTTTTCTGATACACAAATACTTACCATTGTGTTATAGCTGCCTATAGTATTCAGCCCAGTACTATGCTGACCAGGTTTCTATTGTAGGAGCAACAGGCTATACCTCACGCAGCCTCAGTGTGTAGAAGGATATCCCATCTGGGATGTGTAGGTACACACTGTGGTGCTCCCACAATAATCACAGTCACCTAATGATGCATTTCTCAGAATGTAGCATCACATGTTGTAAAGCAACACATGACTGTATGAGAAATAAAGCTGCTGAATAGCAGTGAAGAGCAGTTAAGCAGCCAACCTCAAGCTCAAGGGCAGCAGGTAAAATGTAACAGTGCTCTGGTGCTATCAGCCCCAGCGGACGGCAGAACCCGCAGCTTCCAACATGGGCATCAAATGACCCCAACTCATTCCCTGTGAGGCCTGTGTGTGTGATCTCGTCCCCATGGCTCCTCCACACTGTCACCTTGGTTTCTGTCTCTCCTTCTCTCACTGACTTTCCCTGCCCTTTGTGCCCTCTGGCAGGGGCAGAGGCTTAATCTGCTGATCGCTGTCATTCTTTTTTGGATAAAATGATTCCCTACATTTGCAAATGAGCCTAAAGTTCTTTAACCCATGATAATTTTGTATTACAGATGTTCAAGTCTGTGTTTTGAATCAGTGAATTACAAGTAATTACTAGAATTACTAGAAGTGATTAATGACTATCATTACCAGTGATTACCTAATGGTTGAGAACACAGGCCTTGAAATCAGACCTCGTTCAAACAACTTAAGCTTCTGTGCCTCAGTTTTTTACTCTGTAAAGTAGGGAGAATAATCTTGACTACCTTAAGGTAACAGCTGTTGTCAATTGGGAAGTGAACTAAGCATGGGGTATAAGGTCTAGCAATCCCACCTGGTCAAGGTAATTCTCACTAATTAATTCCCAAGGTAATTCTCAATAATTGCTGTGAGACACCAGGTGGCCTGTCCGTGTCCACTGAGGGTGGTAAATGCACACTTGGGAATAGTGGGCAGCAACAGGGAGCAAGGAACTGGATTTTACGGCAAAGCCCCTCTTCAAACTTAGTGTCAAGCGGTAAAAAAGAAGCAATACAATGAAATGTACAGTACAATGTCATCTGTGTATCAAACGCAGGGGACAGGGGATGAGATGGGGAGGAGACTCAAGACAGGAGAACCGCCTAGCCCTGAGGGTTAGGAGCAGAGGACTGAGGAGCTTTATCAGCACCATTGAATGCTCCTGAAGTCCAAACAACAACAAAAACGCAACACGTGATTGGAGGACGCCAGTGACCCGCGAACTTCCCCTTCCATACTACCCTTGATTTTGGCCAAAAGGCGGAGAAGCAGCGAACTTTCCCCTGGAGCCAGAAGGACGCAAAGGTTCGCGAGCAGCCCAAGGCGGGCGCAAGGCTAGAGAGACACCCTACTCGCTCCGCCCGCCGTGCTGTGCTCCTAGCGATCGCCGCACGCCCCGAGGGATTGGTTCTGCTGCCTCCGCCCCCAAACGGGCCAACGACCCAAGGCGGGGGAGGGAACGCGCACTTGAATGCTCCTGACGGTGGTGGGGGAGGCGCAGGGCCCAGTCCTACCTTTGCAGAACCCTCTCCCCTTCCACGCAGTCGGAGGACCCCAAAGGGCCTTTGAGGAGACTAAGGTTGCCAGAGGCCCCCAGCCACTAAGGCGGCCGCCCACCTCTCGGCCCTGGGGCAGCTTGGGACGCCTAGAACTGGGAGGGAGGGACTGGGGATCGAATCTTCCAACGCCCTGAGCGGCCCGCCTGCCCGCCCCCGGTTGCCTCCGGCCCCCTGCCTCGTCCGGGCCGCGTCCAGGGCCAGCGCATTTACCTCGGTCGGGACCCGCCAGGGCGCGCACTTGGATCTCGGGGCCCCCGGCCGCCCCGTCGGAAGCGCAGCCGCGGGCCCAAAGGGGCCTCCAGGGGCGCGGCAGGCACAGGCCGCGCAGCATCGGGGCGCAGTATGGGAGGGAAGGTGTTTCTCGGGCCCCGCACTGTCTCGGCTCCCGCTGAAAGCTCGCAGTTCCCGCAGCTGGCTAAGCCTTCGCCAAGTGCTCCACCTACAGGCCCGAGGGGCTGCTGCCACCGTCCGCGTCTCCTGGGGACAGGGACACTTGAGCGGGGGTGGGGAGCCCAGCTCCTCAGTGTGATTCGGGGTAACCCTGTCAACCTCCCAACGTCCGTGTTTTAATCTTGTAAAATTGGGGTAATAATAGTGACTACCTCGTGGTGATGTGAAGATTAAAGGGGTGTGTGAACCTTGCTTGCACATATGCTCAATTTCATTTTTTAAATGAAATGACATTTCATGAGTCCCTTGAGCGTTGTGTATATTCATGAACTTCACTGCCTCACCTCCCATTTGTGCCTCACATTTTTTTTTTTTTTTTTTTGAGATGAAGTCTTGCTGTGTCCCACTTGCTGGAGTGCAGTGGCTCCATCTTGGCTCAATGCAACCTCCAATTTCGGGTTCAAGCGATTCTCCCGTCTCAGCCTTTCCAGTAGCTGGGATTATAGGCATGTGCCACCATGCCCCGCAAATTTTTTTTGTATTTTTAGTAGAGGTGGGGCTTCACCATGTTGGCCAGGCTGGTCTCAAACTCCTGACCCCAAATGATCTGCCTGCCTTGGCCTCCCAAAGTGCTGGGCTTACAGGGGTGAGCCACTGTGCCTGGCCTGTGCCTCAAATTTAATGGGAGTAAATTTAACTTGAGTCCCAATTTAGTGCTCAATAAGTTGGCTCACAAAAATATTTGTGAATGTCAATCTCCGGCTTCTAACCCCACTGTCCACCCAAACTGCCTTTGCAGAGGTCAGCAGCAGCCTTGTTTAGTTCATTAAGGGTAGTTCAATAAATAGTATTCAGTGCACATTCTGTATCCCCCAACCTCCTACCTGGGAGACATATCAAAGATCCCAAAGTCACTTATAATCCTGGCTTGTCAATTAAAAAACATCAAATGGTTAAAGCATTAAAGTTCATTTTATTCAATCTTACTGAAGATTATAAACCAGGAGGAGTCTTGCAGAGAGTTTCTATCAGACTGCTCCAAAGCCATGTTTCAGCCCACAGCCTACATACAGGTTGTGGAGGCTTTTCATGTACTCAGAAGTTATATCAAATGTACTCAGAAGTTACAATAGAGAAAACTAGACCTAATGCACTGACCCATTGCACTGACCTGAAGAAGGCATCCCTTCCAGTGCCCTTAAATGTGAATCCTTAAAATCAGAAACATGAGCATACCCCACGAAGCATGAGCATACCTTGCAAAAATGTGAGTGTACCTCACAAAGTGTGAGCATTTCCTGCAGGGCCCATAGGGCCAGGCTCTCTGAAGAAAACAAAGTCTCCAAGTCTTTCACCTAAAAATCTGAGGTCTTGAGTCAGAGAGGGCTTACCTGATTTCTCCTCAATGTAGATGGATGACAGCTGAGCTCAAGGGGCTTTTGCAGGTGCCTGATGCATTCGTCTAGATAATGCTTGGAAGGAGCTTGGGGCCGCTTTTTATCCCATCTTCCCTGCCAAGAAATGTTAACAAAAGACCATGAGATCTGTGGAGGAAAAACAGAAAGCTTCATTTTCTTTCTTTCTTTTTTTAGGTCCCACTTGTCAATTTTTGTTTTTGTTGCATTTGCTTTTGGGGACTTAGTCGTAAATTCGTTGCCAAAGTCAACGTCCAGAATGCTACTTCCTAGGTTTGCTTATTGAAACTGGACCTCTTCCTTTCACCATATAAAAAAATTAACTGAAGATGGGTTAAAGACTTAAATGTAAGAACATTTGGGTAGTTTCTAATTCTAAAAACCAGGAGTGTCCGTTGGGTGCTCCTTTCAGGCTAGTGGGAAGAGTTTTCGGGTCACATTATGGGAACCCTACAGGAGCCCTCCCATTATAGTAACCCTCTTAGCTCAGAGATGCAAACAGGATGTTGTTTGGGGCTACCCTATCTGAGAATAACAAGTGCATGAATGCCCTTCTTTCACTCACCATGGCCACTGTATTCCTATTATCTTATTTGGTGTCTCTATTAGCCACAGAAAGTCCATCTCATCTGGAGAGGTTGGGGTCTTATTTACATTTTCATTCACTAACTACTATGTGCCAATTAAAAGTAATAATAGGCTGGGCGCGGTGGCTGAAGCCTGTAATCCCAGCACTTTGGGAGGCCGAGGCGGGTGGATCACGAGGTCAAGAGATCGAGACCATCCTGGTCAACACGGTGAAACCCCGTCTCTACTAAAAATACAAAATATTAGCTGG